ATCTTTCTTCATATTTTACTTGTATTATTTGTTAAGAGAGATCATATGTTGAAAACTTTGATACAAAGAATTTCTTGATTGATCAAAACTAGTTTCATCTATTTCATCATGAATTCTATTTTACAAAGAAACTGCTCAATCTCATCTCTTTCAATTCTTGATAACGGTTTTCTTTACCAACACTTATATTGAAGTGTAAATTTCTCTTCATACTTAACTTGTATTATTTGTTAAGAGGGATCATAGGTTGAAAACTTTGATACAAAGATACAAACTATTTCATTATTTATTATTCATCAAAATTTACAACACAAACACTTGAAATTTATTATTTGCTATCTATTGAAATTTTATCCTAACTCTCTAAATAATTGACTTGATTATATCATTTGTTAAGAGAGTTCTTTCAATTGTAAAACTATCATTTATACTTTAGTGGTTTCGAGAGTCCTCTGAAAACTCGATTGTTATTAAGGATAAGTGCTCCTTGTTGAAAGTCACTTAAGGATATGTGCTCATTGTTGTAAGTTACCTAAAGATAAGTGATCTTTGTTGTAAGTCACTTAAGGATCGGTACTCATTGTTTGTAAGTTACCATTATAATGCATTTCGCCTTACTCGTGACAGAGAGTTTAGTAACGGAGACGTAGAACACATTGTGTATCGAACCCATTAAATTGATTTGTTATCTTTACATTATTGCACTTTACTTTATATTACCATTTATATTGTGTCATATCCATGCGTGAATTAAGATATTGAACTTGCATATTTAATTCTAGTATTATACTTTGCATTTATATCTTGTGTATTGTATTTGTTTGAGACTAAGTGTCGAAAAAGTTTCAAAAATCAATTCACCCCCCTCTTGGTTAGTTATTCTTGGATTATCATTTTCAAATTAGATTTTAATAAATCTCAACTAAATTTAGATGTCCCCAAATAACTTGTGGGTTTATAAAGATTTTATTATTTGAAAGAATTTAATTGATTTTAGTGGATTACAAGTCCATAAATATAAATAGCAAGCTCTTTAGAAATTTCACAATTTAGATTTCAATGGTTTAAAAGCCACAAATATAAAGTCAAATTATCTATACGTTTGACAAAAAATAAAAGAAATTAAATTAAGTAAGAAATGAAAAATATTTATTCTCATCCAGTCATCCAAGTGGGAGGGAGAAGGAAATGAGTAATTGAGTTCATTTTCTATTTGAATATGGAATCCAAGTTCATTTTCTATTGGAATTTTGAATCCAAGTTTAATTCTCAGCATCTAAGAATGAAAACATGAATTATGCCATTCTGCTCGGGTTAATTACCCCAATAGTCGCTGAACTTTACCCAAAGTTTTCCACCATGTCACTAAACTTTAAAAATTACGTGGTTAGTTAATGAACTTTCGAAATTGCAACCTCATCCATTACTAAATTTTAAAAATCACCCCGTTCATCACTGAACTTTGCAAAAAAAAAAATTCAGATGGTCACTGGATTCAGTGACCATCTGGAAAACTTTTTGTAAAGTTCAGTGACCCCGAAGAAACTTTTTTGCAAAGTTTAGTGATGAATTGAGTGATTTTTAAAGTTCAGTGACTATTGCAGTTGCAGTTTCGAAAGTTCAGTGACTAATTACGTAGTTTTTAAAGTTCAGTGACCTCGTGGAAACTTTAGGTAAAATTCAGTGACTATTGAGGTAGTTAACCCGCCATTCTTATCTTTAATCATTAAATATTAGTGCATGTCTTGTTCATAATAATAGACACTATAATGAAAATGATATTTGCATATTAAACCAATTTTTAATTTGTTGATATTTATTAATTGATTTTATATATTGTAATTTTGTTCAATTTCTTAGATTGGACTAATTTTAATTTGTTTATATTTATTTGCTTAACTTTGTAGATTGATGAAATTAATTCTTATAAAGTGACAGCGTGATGAATAATCTGTAATAAATGAATTTTATTTTTTATTTTTATTATAAAGTTAGAATTTTTCTTTTTCTTTGGAGATCTATTAAAAAGTTATATCATTTTATTGAAATGGTAAGAAATTCATTAAAAATTCTGTTAAATCGAAAAAACAT